TCCCACACAATGTGGCATTGGACCATTGAGATATATTGAACAGAAGGGGAAAACTAGCATCAGAGGAACCTCACCAATCCAATTGATTTTCTAAAAGAGAATAAATATCGATCAAAAACCAATCCCTTAATTGACCCTCAAAACACCCCAAAGCTATAATACCCCTCCACTGTAATGATGATTTTTTAATGCTAACATTATTCTCCACCTCCATTTACACAAAAGAGCCTCATTAAACGCTTATAAACATCTGATACCCAAACCTCACACTTTCTTACTTTTGCAAACTTCATGCCAACTGACCCAAGATATCACTCTCTTATTCAGACCTCCGCACCACAAGAATTCCCTCTGAATTCTAATCAACTCCTTCAACATTATTTTGGGTAATTTGAAAAAAGACAGGAAATAGATGGGAATAGAATTCAACACAGAATTTATCAAGGTGACACGACCACCTATAGACACAAACTTACCTTCCAAAAACTGACCCTTCTCGTCTCAACCATCTCTTTCAAATTATATCATACAATGTGTAAGAAGATTTTAAGTGCACTCTAAAATTCATCTGTGTTATACTCGTATTCAAGAAATATCTAATATGTTATCTATCTATCATATAAGAAAGTTTTAGGCTCTAGAAATCCTCAGTCTTCCCTTCTGCTAATACAGGCTGCCACGTGGCTAGCTTAAGAGAATTTCTTTCACTTTTCTGATTTATTATTATTCATCTTTTCTGTCTTTTATTATTAGATCCATATGTTCTTATTTATGAATCATTTTTCTATTTTTTATTATTAGAATTCAATCTGTTCCCGTCGATCTATCTTCTACAACCAATCCGTAGACTTCAATATTCGACGGTTACAGATACTGAAATGGTTTCCATTAACCGCCACAAGCCTTTCTGCATGCAACTGTTTCATCCTCCATGACTAACATAAATAACCCTAACGACTTCAACTTTGTTAGCATATTCACTAACCTCTCTGTACTCTTTTTCTTCTTTCTGCAACTGCTACCAAATCTTTCTCCACCGCTTTCTACATACATGGCCAGACTTTTGGAGAGAATCTGCAACATCAATGACGGCAAGGAGCTACGGAAAATGAATGTTAGGGTGAATCATAAATGGACGGTTGTTTCCAACTATAATGAGCACTTTGAGATGATCTTCATAGACAAAGATATAATTTACTTAAATCATTGTGAATTTGTTAAATTTCTAGCATATCTAGAGGTTTTTGTACTCTGTATTTTAATTATTCTGTATACATTTGATTTTTCTGTGCATCACAGAGGATTGATATACATGTTGTGCCAACAACGCATATGGTTAGTTCTATGACAAATTATCCTTGGACCATACTTACACAGTCGGGACCTTTAAGGTTTAGGCTAATGTGTTGACTTTCAAACCTTCGTCACACAAGTTTATAGTGAAGTTTACCAGAGGATCATCCGTTACTGATGATAACAAACACGAACTACCACCCAGACCACTAAAGTTTACAAGTTTTTTTTATATTATCACCAACAGATTTTCCAAAGATGTGTTGATAGGTAACAAACATTTGTTCATATGTTCTTCCAGATATTTTATTTTACTCTTATGCAACTGTTTGTCTTTTTTCCAAACATCATTGGAATGGTTGACAATATTGGATTTTCACAGATGCGGTCAGGGGCGAAAAAACAACAAGTTAATTTGGTATTAAGGGACCGCCGATTAGTATATTTACTCCCAACGAAACTCTTATTTGAATGCATAAGCACTTCAGGTATTAAAACACTATACTTTTTGTTTAGCAACAACATTGTAAAATGCGCTCTTTAGAAAGCATATGCCGACCAATTCATGATGGCCAACCAGGATCGGGTCAACGCATCTGGTCCAACTATTATTTTGCTTCATTACGCAAAAGTCAAGAAAGAGGGTTAGTTGGTTTATGATTATATTAATAGTGCGAACCTTTTAAACACTCAAACTTATCTCTTACTCGATAAATGTAGGGAAGTTTTCACTGTCGATCACAAACACTTACAATGTTACCATGCTCTACCGCGATGCTGATTTTCTTCCAATCAAGAAGTTTATAGACAATTGCATTCCATGTAATATGTATTGTCTATGTTTCTCTATTGAATTTCTGATGATGTTATGTGGAAGGTTTTTAATTGAATTATCCATGCAGTTGCCCTAAATACTGTTTGGTTAGTGTATCTGGACAACTAACCTCTACTTCTCAGTTTTCCTCACAAAGCTCTGAAAATACTCAACAAACTCATGTTCAAAAGTTACTTTCTAAGTCTATTATTATGCATGTTGCTGACATTATTAAACTTCGTGACGTATGCACTATTATTTCCTATAACTCTTACTTATTTGTTTTTTTTTGGTAATGACTTTTACCTCATTTACTATTTATGTTATGTACCGTTGATATAGATCAAATTTTGTGCTAGTGTTGCTGAAACAAAAGTTTTGATAGCATCTCCATTTGGATTGTGTTATCGGGCCTGCCATCTATGCCCCAGAGTTCCACGTGGTGATAACCCTCTATTTCAGTGTGAAGATGGTCATTCAACTAAGGCAGAGATCTTTAGGTATGACTACTTATCATCTGACGTATGAGTTGTATATCTAAAGTTTAATCTTATATTTATGAATTCATATTTTTTATGACCATTATTCCCTATATTGTAGGTATAAGATAGAAATTGAAGTTTTCCACGCGGGAAAAATTTGTAACTTTATTTTCTAGGACAAAGAGTGTGAACAACTTTTAGGTTTATTTGCTGCTCAGATGTGCCATACCATATTGAGAATTATTATTTAATTGAGCATCACCATATCTTTCATTGTTTACACAAACTAACAATGATGGTGTTGTTTCCTTCTATATGTTGTAATTCATGATCGCTTGGAATTTCCATTGGCACTCAATCAAATGTTGAATTTGGAGATGGCTTTTAAGTGGCAGTCGCACTGGAAAAGTTGCTTAGTTGTCATGATACTAAAAGATAAACCCTTTATCAAACAGCTTAAGGTGCCATGGGAAACAATCCAAGTATAATTCATCACACAACTTTATCATTTTTAGTATTTCTTAATTTTCTGTTACAAGCTCTCCACTGATCCTACTTTCATCAAACTTTAGCAACTTGAGAAATGATCTCAAACAATGAAGTCGTCGTCGGACATTTATTTATCCCAGAGAAGGGAAAGGAAAACATCAAAGAAAACCTAAAGAAGAAAAGATCATGGTCTCGCAACCAAGATATCGGGTACGAGAGTCGATTACATAAGGGGTAGGTATTAGCACCCCTCATATCCGTCGTATTGACAGGATCCACTCTTGTTGTTCTAATCAAAGGGTGTGTTTACTCTAAAGCTTAACTTGCTAAGAGAATGTATGCATGCAAAATTATTTACAAAAAGAAATTTTTATTATTCGTGCCTGCTGCGGTTGCAAACATTTGTGCCTACGTACCACCTTTTGTGCAATAGGGGATCAGGGCACTCGTAGTTCACCTCAAAAATGTTTTTTGGTTTGTTGTGTATTTTTTATAGGTGACAAACCCTTTTGAAATGGTTTTGACTTACGCCTTCAATGCAATGTGCCACATTTGATTTATTTGTGTTTTTGTTATTTCGAAAAAGGATTTGGTGATTTGAATCATATTAAAGACTATGATTTCAAAGGAAGCACAGGGTTCAAGAATGGACCCCCTCATACTCCTAACGATGGCTTAAGGCTCGTGACACGTGGTTTGCATCATTATTGTTAAGTGTTTTGAGAAGTTTGATAAAGAAAAAGAAGTTTTAGTTTTAAAGATACAAAAGGGGAATGAAAAAGTCTAAGGGAGGCTAGAGCCCTAATGTTATCATGCAATGGTGGTCCTAAAGTTAGGATGAAGGGAGAAAATTTACCCAAGTTAGCATGTGAAGTTTGTCCTAGGGTTAAGTTTAAGGGAATTACCTAATATTATCATGCTTGGTTTAGATCCTAAAGTCTAATTAATTAGATTTAATCAAGATATTAAGATTGAGTTAAATATCCTAAGGGAGCATGGCAAGAAGAAATAAGAACAATATCAACCAAGTCATTGAAAATTGCAATAGTACACAAAATGATAACCAAAAGTCACGTACAAAATTAATCACAATTAACTAAAGAAAGAAAACAATCTTAATTAAGTTCTAAAGAGAAAATCCTAATGAAATTTTAATATATTCTATTATTTAATTTTTATCACTAATGTTATAAAAAATTATTATCAAAATAATGAAAAGAACAAAAACTAATAGGGAAAACAAAATATTTGAAACATAGGGGGTATGAAGTCAAGCCCAGGAGTGTGAATAGCCTTCAGGCGTTAGGCCCATTCAAACTGTGGTCCAACATGGTTATTTTTGTTACAAGCATTCAGGCTTTTTTTGTATGCAGTGTAGGCTCTACACAAAAAAAAAAATGAAAACAGACCTACGGGAATGGTGGATGACCCATATCTACAACTACCGAGTCCACCTAATTTTTGTTTTATTTAAGATTTATTATTATTAACAAAAATAATGAAAGAAAATGAAAATAAGGAAAACGGTGGCATTTTGGGAACTTAGGGTTCAAAGGTGGTGACGATCGAAATTCACGATTCAACTCTCTCTCAAACACGAACAACGGTGAAGCTTCAATTTGTATTCTCCTTACGCTGCCTCACACCACCAGACAATACATTCCGTCAGCCTTCACCTTTGTCTCATCTTTGCGATTCGACTTCGATTCAATTCAAACATATTTACCTTATCCTCAAGACAAAACTTTAAATATGAACCGAGATCTAACATTCATACAATATTTGGATCTAAAACTACGCTGCAATATAGATTATGAAGTGAGAATGAGGAGGATTAAAACAATCATTACTCATCGACCGGGGTCACTCCAATGATTCTTGACTTCAGAAGCAAAATGAGAACGAAATCCAGTCGGACCGATTCAGGTAGGAGTTTGTTTTCGATTCTTCCTCTTTTGTGTTCTTCTACATTTCTGGTATTTCTGAGTTGCATTGTTGTGAAGAAGCATATGTGGTTGATTATGGCTTTGCATATCGCTAATATGATAATGGTGATGAATGTTGCAGGAGCCAATTTGTTGTGATGAAAACGATGAAGAGGTGTGAAAGAGGTGAAGATAATTTTCAGAGAGATTAGATTTCATTCGTAGAGGTTTATGGTGATTTCTTCTGATACTTCTCCTTCTGTGAATTTTTCAGTGGTTTTTCTTGTGAAGCTTGTGTATGAATCGTGATTTGGGAGATATCGCTGGGTTAGTGTTGCTGTATTTATGTGTGTCGTTGGTGTATATCGTTGGGTTTTGGGAGTGGTTTTTACGTGTGATTTAAGAAGAGGTTATGAGAAGTTTGGATTGAGGGTGCATATGGAGATTGAGGTCTACGGGATTGAAGAGAGATTGAAAGGAAATAAGCTGAGGGAGTATGATGGTTTTATGAGTGATTTTTTTGCAGGGACTATTGATGAGTGAATTAAATGGTTGTTGAGAGTAGAGTATTTTGCAGGGTTTTTTCAGGTGATTTCTCTGCCTCTTTTATGAGCCAATGATTAGGTGTTTTTATAGCATAATGAGAATGAGGGTAAAAGGGTATTTGTGAGAGTGATTTGGATAACAATTGGAGATAAAATTTGTTGGAGTGGATAAGAATGGAGAGAGGAAAAGAATTGTGGATGGCAAGTTTGTGTGAGCTGTAAAATCTGTTTTCCAAATTTTCTGTTGTACTATTTTCTGATTTTCTGCATGTTTGGACTATGCTGAGCTGGTATTTGATTTTTTTATTATTCCTCTGATGTGCCTTACTTTTCTGTTATGTTGTCCCTATTTTTTCTAATTTTCTGTTATGGATCAAATGTGAGGCACGGTTTTCTTATGGGCATGGACAGCAAGGCATGGAATTGATGTGTCAGCAAGTGCACCGAAATATCAAAGTAATATAAAAGATTGTCGAACCCACAGAGACCAATGTCAACCTACTGTAATCTATTGTCGCTTTGTAAAGATAAGGCTAATGAATGATTAATTTAGGGGAATCTGAGAACTAAAACTAAAATAAAATAAGATTAAGGAAATATATATATGAAAAGAGAGACTATAATGTGTATTCCTCGTACCTCGGGGATTCTGTAACTCGTTGGCTTATATTGATGTTAAAAATGTGTTTAGTAGAAAATGTTAATTTAAAGACTGAACCTCACACTCTTGTGGTTTTGAATAAAGCCGCATTCCTTAACCGTGAGATTTTGTTCTCGCTCTCCCATTTTAATTAAGGAATGCGTTTTGAAAACTTAACAAGTTCTAATTAATCCTAAAACGTTCTCGTTGTGTTTAGGATTAATGTCTAGTTTCTACTATCCGGTACGACCTCCACGCTCTCACAGTTCCGGTTTGGATCTTAGTTAGTTTCCCACTTTCGTTGAAAAATCATGTTAATTAACCTCTCACTCTCGTGACAAAGCTATTTAAATTAAGTTTAAAAGCAAATATCAAAGCTGAATTTTCAAACAGATATTAAGCCAACTTATTACCGAGTCCCGTCGAAAACGACGGTCCTCACATACCGGACTCAAAACTATTTAAATAGACATATTGTTAAATGAAAGTGAATTAAACATAACAATTACAATTAAGAACGACATTATAATAATAATAATAATAATAATAATAATAATAATAATAATAATAATAATAATAATAATAATAATAATAATAATAATAATAATAATAATAATAATAAAGCAATAAAATGAAACCTGTAAAAGTTAGGAATAAATTGTGAGACTTAAAATAAAGATAAAATTGAAATAACTTCTATTAAAGCGGCAAGATTTGATCCAAGCATTACACAAATTGTGCGCCTAATACTAATGGTATGGTAGTTCCCCAATGTGAGAAACTACCACTTTTACAAAGTGATTTTCTGCCTAAAACTACTAACAGCGCTTTCTCGCACAAACTTGGATTCCAAAAACTAATTTCTAAGATCCTATATATAGAGAAATAAAATGGAAGTTACTTCAAGGTTTATGTGAGAAGTAGTGGAGATAATGAAGAAAGTGGAGAAAGAAGTGGAAAAATGAGATGTTGAAAAGATCACGGGGGTGATAATGGGAAATTGGGCTTTGTGAGTTGTTACGTGAAGAAGACTTCGTATCAAACACTGGAAATATCTTGTGACGAGTGGCATGTATTGTGTGTCGTGGGGTACACATATCTTCATTATGTGTCGATCGTCATGCTATGTTTATCGAAGGGCACGGATACTTAACTTATGTCGAGTGTCAAGGAGGTGTGACGATTGTCACAGTCTTAAAATACCAACATAACAAGATAAAAATGAATGAAAACGAAACTAAAATGCATTTATGTCAAGTCGAATATACGATATAATTTCGCGTTATCAAATCCCCCGACACTTAAACCATTGTTTATCCGCAAGCAATCAATAAAAACAATAAAATAAATGATTAAGCGCGATTTGAAACAAGGGCACGACACAACTCCTGATTATATGAGGATGCTAGGCTAATGTTAGATCGATAGGTACTAAATATTCAATACCAAGGACTCTGTACCGACACAATGTTCAAAGAATCCCTTTATGCAAACCAATTTGAATCATACCATTATAACTCAACATATATCTCTCATTTTTATTTCACTATATTCATTCAAGCGCAATCACATTAAGCTTGTTATCCGTACACGCACATAGTAGGGAAATAAGTTAGCGACTATGATCCTTTGTCTCGAGGTTCTGGTACATAAGTTTGGTAACCCTTTTTATTTAACCAATTGCATTTGTGGGAGATCGGACCATAGTCCGTCCTACCAAGTTCAGCACCAGACACCTCTGAACCAAATGATGACAGGTTATTTTATTATATTTTTGTAGGTTCCACAACCATTGGATTAAGTGAACGGGTGAGGGTCACCTAACTTAATAGGTGCATTCCCTATTTTAAATTTATTATGGCAACTAATTTTTTAGAATTTTTAGGATCATTCACTTATATTCACCGACTCCCTACATAGTTTATGCTTAAGATGGTATCGACTGCTGATATAAACTACTCAAGAGCTAATTTGGAAACTTGAGCCTAAGGTTTTGACATAATGGGTACCCGAATTGATATCACATAATGAGGGGGTTTAGGGTGTCATAACGATATCTGTGTTATTGAGACTTACCCATGTCTCTCTAACGCAACCTAAATTTTGACAACCTATATACTTTCAAAGTGTGTGCCATGCATTAGAAAATAAAATTTGTTGTTGGGAGGTTAAAATTTTAAAATTTTGGGGAAATTCAATAACAACTAAAAAACAGGCATATAGACTCGACATCACATGCAATGACTCGGCCAAATAATGAAAACAAATAAAATCCTAAAAACATGCAATAAACTAGAAAACCATACATCGAAATAAGAAGCGATAAATGGAAAGCGGTAAAGTTCCTCCCCCACATTTAAACCAAACATTATCCTCAATGTTTCAATAAAAAGTGGGAAAAGGAATAAGAACCTGATTAATGCTCGCCTCGATAGTTGCCTACATGCAACTGATAGGTGTCAAGTGATCGATATCTTTATTTTCTGCAAACTCAAACAAAAGCAAAAACATTAAACTGAAACTCGTAGGTTTCCTCCCACACAGCGCTTCATTTAACGTGGGTATCTTGACGACTCAAGAGTGTCAGCACTCATGGTGATTCTCTCGAGAATGAATCCTCGATCTAATTTTTAATCGTCTTTGGTTTCCATGGCCACTTATCAAGCCATCTCACATATCCCTCACCTTTTCTTTTCTTTCTTCAGTTGGGTGGTTCATTCTTTTGAACTTGTGGTGGTGGTTCATGATCTATCTTGAGTATCAGCTTTTTAAGTTTGGGTTTTGTTATTTCATCCATCATCTCGAATATTAACCTTCCCTTCTTAACGCTAATGATTTCCTTAGTTTCACGGTCCTCAGATTTTCTCTTTTATACAGGACCTCAGATAAAGGTGAATTGGTGTGGATATTATTCACATACCTTTTGGATTGGGCATCTACATTAGCTTCCACAAATATTTGCAGAAAATAAATAGGTGGGTTATATGGAAGAAGAACAACAATAGATGTTTCCTTCTCTACCTCTTCGACAACCTCCCTTTCAGATGGTGTCGGTGTATTTTTCTCAATCTCCACTCTTTTCTCCTCAAAACTCTTCTCAACCTCATTATTCTCTTCAATCTCATTATCATTCTCCTTAGGATTTTCGATTTGTTTTTCACTACTGGTTTTTTCAACATCCACATGCTCCTCAGGGAAGGGTCCTAGAGGATTTTGTGCAAGCATGGAGATTTGGTTCTCTAAGGCCATGTTGTGCGTCGCGAGGGACTCAACCACATTGTTCAGCTTCCTAAGGGTTTCATTATTTTGAAGACTTTGATTTCTTATCATTTTATTTTGGACAGTTTGTGTCTCTACAAAATGTTCTATCATAGATTCTAGCCTAGAGTGAGTTAGTGTTGCATCGAAATCCTCCATTGATGTTGTGAGGTTGAAATTATGGGATTCATGCGGTTCTTCAAAGTGAGTTAGCATCGCATTTTTTGTTTCCACAAAATGCTCCATCTTAATAGTTTCTAGCCTAGAGCGATTTAGTATCGCAGTCATATCCTCCATTTATATTTCGAGAGTGGAATTTTGTGATTCTTGTGACTCCTCAAAATATTGGGCATGGTGATTGTAGAAGAAATTTGGTCGAGGATAAGTTAGCGTCGCATTGTAATCCTCCAGTAATATTTCGAGATCAGATTTATAGGATTCTTGTGACTCCTCAAAATGTTGGGATTGGTTGTTGTAGAGGTAATTTGAGTGAGAGTGAGTTAGTGAAGCATTGAAATCTTCCATCAGTATTTCGAGGTCGGATTTATGGGATTCTTGTGATTCCTCTAAATACTGAGAATGGGAGTTGTATAAAAAATATGGGTGATACATAGTAATTAAGTTTAGAGTGCCTTAGTCTATACGGTGCAACATCAGAAATATCAATATTGATTATTGGTCCCTGGCAATGGTACCAAAATCTTGATGCGTCTGCAAGTGCACGAAAATATCGAAGTAATTTAAAGATTGTCGAACCCACAGAGACCAATGTCAAC